CATAACGCCATTGCCTTAATGCCAGTAAACGCTCCTCATGCCCATGCATCATCCATCTGAACGCCGTTTTATGTCATCAATTGCCTCTTCCTCATACTACTAAATTTGTTGCCACAAAGTCCTGCGTCGAGGTTGTTAGCTAACAATCAAACTTTCATAATCGAAGCCACTTACGGGGTAGACGAGTTGCAGCTCAGAGGTGACTTTTTCCACCTCCTCGGCCAGTCCTTGGACGTTGGCGTCCCAGCGTCTCAGTTCTTTGCCTACCACACCCTCTGCTCTGCCACTACCCTTCTCTCCCGTAGCTTCACCACCCTCGAACCAAATCACTCTCTCGATCTGATCGATTCTACCCACCAAACGGCCCTGTTCAATCATCCGAGCTGTCGTCTCCTCGGCTTTATCTCCGTCCAGGCCAAGTAAAGATCCCAGAGCATCAAAACCAATGTTGTTGTACAGCCGCGAAGCACCTCTTAGATTATGCTCCACTACGGCCTTCGCCAACACTGTACTCCCATCTGAAGTCCTAGCAAGCTGATGTGTTGCCAAACCCTCAGCGAATTTGGCGACTTCTTCGGGGGTCAGCAGGCGGTCTAAGAACATTTTCTCCAGGATGCTGTACTCGGGCAGCGTGTTGGCTCTCTCATCCTTATACAGCCGTCCTAGAGCACGACTTCTGGCGGGGCCAGCGGGTGCAAGAACAGCACACTTGATTGCCATACTTAATGTATGAAGTCTCTCCTCCTCCGCTATGACGGGCATGAAACTAATGTCTTGATATCCTTGTGCCGCCGCTAGGAAATTCCGTCTTGCATCCTGAATTCGGGCTTGGCAGAGGCTGAAATGCAAGTTCATCTCGCGATCAGAGACTGTATAGATAACATTCTTGGCTTTGTTCAAATATTGCTCTGCGAGTGTTGTATCATCAACCTCCAAATAATTTCTTGTAATGCGAATCCAAAACCGGACTTTATCATCATTCGTGACCTTTCTCTGCGAAGACTCAAGTGGTATTCCGGCTAGAACTTTCGCGGCGGAAAGAAAATCTTCATCGTCTTCGTGCGCAGTTGCCATAAGCTCACGAATCTGCGCATTTTGTTCTTCGAAGGAGGAAGCTTGTGTTTGGAAGATGGCGAGGGCATGCTCTCCGACTTCGATTTTGGCATCATTGATCGGTACCTGCTTTAGAGTATCGACGAAACACGCCGTGAGTGATCGAGTGGCTACTATACCAAGAGACTCTGCAAATATTGCATCGATAATAGCTGTCAGGTCTTGGGAGAGAGTTTCGGGACTGGACAGAGACGGGGTTTCCTTAAGGAGGGCTTCGTAGCCTTGCTGCTTGTCTGTTGACCCTGCGATCTGCTGGAGAGCTTGCTTGATCTTTGGTGATGCCATATTGGATCAAGACTTCGATTTGCGCATCAAACACTTCGGTGATAAAATTGGAGGAGCCTGTTTTGATGAGGCTGAAGATTATGGCGGGGGAGCTCTTTCGGACTTTAGGCTCCCACACTAGTGCCTCGCTTCTGAAAACCCCTGTAAATCCAACGGCCTGGAGCGAGAGGACTCTCTTTCGCTCCTTCCCTCCAAGCTTCTTCATCACTGCAAACTACAGATATCTATACTCATCCTCAAATTTTGTTAACAACAGCCCAATCGAAAAGTCCCCTCTTCGCATAGCCACGACAACATTCTCCTTGTCGTAAATAGCTTAGGGAGGCCTTCAATTGACAAACAGCGGTCGGTGGGCGGTCCAAAGTGTCCCATGTTCTCCTACAATACCTTCCTTTCGAGTAAGCCCGATGGTCTATTTGGAACTGTGAAGGTGAAGTATGGTTATCGTATCAATATATCCTTGATTCTTGCATTTTATTTCTAACTCGTTGCCCATGACTTTGATATCCTCTCTTTTCCCAAAAATTCACTCCAGCTTCTCGTCCTTTTATTATCGAGGAGCAAGTTTACAGAGGAGATATTTTTGCAGGACGACATGATGTTGTGGCCTATACCTAAGTTGGGGGAGCATACCAAATTGAAGCGACTAGAAGTCGTTCGGATATGTCAGACTTTTCGTCGAGGCCAGCACCTGACTTGGAGACGAGGCGGAATTCGAGACGGCTGGTTGGAGGAAAGCTTGATTACATTCTACAACAGAAGTCTACTTAAGAGGTTTTATGTTCTCGAGCATCACATACACGACACAGCTGACTAGATCCACTGCTGCGCTTGCGAGGTCTGGATTCTAAAATCATAACCTTCGATTGCACATGTGCCTCCAGGATGTCTTCAGCCGCTCTCTAAACCATGGTTGATGTTGAGGCTGTGCCTTTCGGAAGAAAGGCTGACCCACTACTTTTCCAGACTTTACCGACCCGGCACTGGTTTAAGTGATACCAAAACCGAGTCATCGGTGCGTCCGACGGCAAAAGTGGTTCTCGGGATTGTTTACATGCTACTCAACCCATCAGCCCCATCACCGCTTCGGAGAATAGAGAAGCTCGAGATATGTTGGATAATATAATAAGCTCACTTAAACATCTCGATATGCCATATTGATTTCATATGACAGACCAAAAGCTGCATAGTCGCAAATTTTCGTGCTCATCGGCTTCCCCTGTCTTCATTTCCATATTCTTGTAATTGTAGCGTGAATTGGATAGAAGTCCAAAGCTGGACCAAACCGACATGAATCTGGGAAGCTAATCCTCGTGGTTGGTCTCCATGTAGCCGCGCGAGTTCGGCCCCGGACTTTGCCTTCCCCATCTTTCCTACCCATCAAACGCCTTTGGCCCCCGCCAAAAAGGCACATCTCTCTCCGCGCATGCAGAACTTTCTGTCTTGAGTGAAAATAATCAATGCAAAAGTCAGTGCACAGCCTTCCACTTCGGATGATAACAGCCGAAACCAATCGATCAGTTCTCTAAAATTTGAGATATTGGCGTGGCAGTGCTGGAATAGTGCAGTTCCAAAAACCTAAATATGTAGCTTTCGAATCCCATACGCTCTCTCTTACTCGTACCCTCGTCTTCTTTACTTCTCGCTAGTTGCAAATTTGTGAAGGGTTGCATGTTTTTGGCTTCCTGATACTTTCATACAGACGCCATTTTATCTTGATCGTCTGCTCACATCTCTTACCAAATAGAAACTCAGTAAGTTGTGTACATTTAAGTTGTAACTACCTCCATGACCTCTCGATGCCTTCTTTTAATATGTTAAGAAACGCTCCAACATGAAATTGTCTCATTTACATCTTTATGTTTCCCCTGAGGTGGTGAACCTCATCATCCTTTGGGTCGCTTGAGCTACTTGGCCTCGTAACAATAGATCCATCATGATGCCCGCCGCCTATTTTTACACAATCACTTGCATTGAAGTTTTGCTAATCGACTCTATGCAGAAGATAAAACGAAAGAAGATTTCTCACCATCTACGAGTTGCGGATGAGTCAAGGATCTTTACATCTCCCAACCTTTTCGGCATGTCATCAGTAAAATGCGAGTTAGCAATGCTCCCTTCACCATCATTGGCCTCGATGTCAACTGAGATTCTACACATGATCGTCAGATATCTCTCTCAACCGGCTCTTCATGCCTTGATGTTAACAAATTCGTATTTTGTCGAAATAGCGGCGCTTCGTCTCTATGATGAGCCTTTTTTTGCGTCTACATACCGATTCGCTCAGGTAGGCACTTATGATCCATTTTCTCCACCAAAGCCTTTTCTTGAGCTCAGAATCTTTTTATCACTATTCTAATGATGATTAGTTTGTTAACGCCATATCACATAGCTCTCGTTATGCACTCATGGTGCGTTCTCTAGACCTCAGCAATATCCCGAACGATGCTTTGGACTCGACAGGACAATACCTTCCTTCAGCCGGCTGGCGAGAATTCAAACATCGTCATTCAGACATGTACTATGCCTCTCAAGAAAATATTACTCCCTCTCACAAGTCGACGAAGTTGTTGCGAAAACAGAAACCGCTCACTAGCCACCAAACATTAAGAAATTTTGAGGGGAGGGAGGCACCGGAGAGTTCACACCCACCCCCTAGCCCACTACTTGAGAGCTTTCACAGGAAGAGAGACATACCTGTTGGGGCGTTCTGTCATGTCCTCGCTGCTTGTAGGCGGCTCAGGTATGTAATTTCATGTCTCTTTCGATCTTCCCGCAAGTCTGACAGCCTCTAAGAAGGGTCAATCTGTCTCACGTCCAACTAGCGATCGACTTCTTGGTCGTTCCCGCAGACATGTCACAAGGGTCTTCACGCTTCGTCCCTGGACAATTCATGACCCGATTTGCCACCAGCTCCTCATCTACTTCTTCCTCAACACATTCATGGACTCTCCCTCTTTGCCTCCCCAACACCCAAAGACACCCTTTCTCGCTGATAGCCTCGCCTCTTCCCCTTCCCCCTATCTTCAAGTCTACACCGGCAACCTGCGAGACTCCGCTCCACACATTCGTGTCTGATATCGACGAATCTTGGCCCTGGCAGAGCAATGAACTGGTTCCAATCTATGCAGACGAGATCACCTTTTGGCTTTGCACCCTGAAAGAGTTGGAAGAAGTGAAGTTGGAAGGATCCGTGTGGGTCAACGGTTTGAGGGCAAGGAGGTTGGTTGTTGACGCTGTTCGTGCGGGAGATGAGTTGAAAGAGGAAGACGCGGGATATGGGAAAATGCTGAAAGGTCTACAAAAGATGGATCTGAGGGAGTGTGGTATCGATAAGACTGCCCGCTGGACTGTGGAAGCAAGTAGAGAGGAAGTGGAGAGGCTTGTTTATGAAGCATTTGCAGCATAGAGATAGTTTAATTCATAACAAATCAAACCGGTTTGAGCTATCTCGGGAAATGTATCGCTCGTCTCGTTTATGTCAAGTTCGCCCTTGCCGCCCTCGACTTCGCCACCCGCGAGCCGGCCTGACTCAGTCGGCGAACAGAATCATCAACCAACCATATAGTATTGAATAAACATTTTCTGTACATACAAATCATGGCCTGGTAGTTCAGTTGGTAGAATACATGCTTTGGGTGTAATAACAAACAAGATGTGGTCCTGGGTTCGATTCCCAGCTAGGCCCCTTATTTTTTGTCGTACCCACATAAGCAATCGTTTTGGTTATGCATAACTTGAGATACATCTCCTTACCTAGACCGATTTTATGCCTGTCTAAAAGAGGCATAGAGATATGGTTTTATATTTTTATATTCGAGAGTCATGCAGGTCCCCGTCTCTGAAACCAGGCTCTCACCAAATCTTGAGCTTTAGCGAGGAAGGGGGAGGCCGAACTTCGAGCTGATGACTACACAGCTTTGAATTATACAATGATTGTGATGATCTGTGATGATGAAATGTAAAGGGTGAAACGAATCCCCGAGGTCACTGAATTCCAAGGACCACGACGTCAGAGAGCCCTAATGTTTAATCTTGGAACGCAAAGTAATGTGATAGCAGATTGGTTTACTGCTCCACATCAATTGTCAGAAGAAGCATTCCGTTGTACTCGTGCACTTGCACCTCAAATGATCCTAAAACCAAGTAAGGCTGAATTAGTAGATCAGAGCTGCACACCGCAAGATTGGACTGATTCCATGGTCTGTATTCTGCATACCATAAGATCTATGCGTGCGTGTATTCGTATCTTAATATCAAGAATGAGGACGATGATGAAGCCCTAGCCGCAGCTGCCTTCATGTACCGGAACTCCTGGAAATGCTGCAAAATTTCCTCATCCCAACCCATATCCCACCAACGCCAGCGATACATGCATTTCTTGTGAAAAAGCTTCACGCCACATCCTCGAATTTTACGTCCTCATCCTCATCTCCATCTTCTTCGTCGGCCATGTCGCTCTCATCCGCACCTGCTCCTTCCGCTGTAGGCGCTACAGCGTCACCAATTGCTTCGTAATTTGCAATCTTATTTTCTGATTTTAGAGACCACTGGGTTGCAAATCGTCCGCTCTTTGCTAATACCGCAACCTTCTCCAATGTCTCTCTCAGATAGGCCTCAGGTTGTTGTAATTCAGCACGTAAGGCTTTCATCGACCAATAGTTGTACCGCGAGAAACATTCGAATATACGATCCAGAAGCTCGTTTTGAGGCATACGGGCAGTTTTCGTAAGTTGTGGGCGTGCACCTGATGAGGGATTCTTGGTTTTCTGCATGCTGTTAGAGATAGCTTTTGACTTGGCGCCGCAATACATACGATGAAGTCGGTAAAGGTGTTTTGCGCATGAATAGTGCCGGGTTGAATGAATCCTGTCCCATGCACAGACAGGTCTTCGTTCAAGAATTTTGTGTGCCTCTTAGGCTTCATGGCTTCTAGTGTTCGCTGTCCAAGGATACGTTCGGACTCTTCATTAATGACAGCGATGCAGTTGACCTCGTGTGCGACCTTGCCAGCTATAGCCGTACGCTCTATAAATCCAGGTTAGCTGGGTCATCAGTAACATATCATCACACTAACTTGGTATCGCCTTCCGGTAATACGGCTGAAACCTTTTATTCGGGTCATATGGCTCCTTGGACATAGGCTTATCATTCTTGGGACGTGTGAGCCTGGCGGGCATATTCGCGGTAGCTAAGTCGAATTGCTGTCTTGATTTCGACTTGAAGCCTGGTAGATCCTTTTCTGTGAAGACGACTGTATTCTTGACCTTTTCTTCCGTGACGTCCAACAGATATTCCTTCGGGATTGTTTGGTGCGCCCCGAGGTCAGGATTAAGCAACATATGGAGCGTATTCTGCAATGATGATTAGTATTGAATCTTGTTCTACAGAGAGCAGACATCTTCCATACCCTTAATTCGCCATTGGGGCCTTTTTCATGACTTTGTCTAATAGTTCCGATTTGAATCTCTGCATCGTCATCAAGTTTGGACCAAGCTTCCCACATATATCTTGGCACCTTTGCAAGGTAGAGTGTTTGGAAAGTAGGATCGGTATTGAATTCGAGGTCGCCCGCATCTTCGTAGATGTCATCTTCTTCGAAGGCACTGGGTGATGCGCCTGCCGCGTCTGGGTCTGGCTTGATGTGAGCATCCGCCATGATTATGATTTGTACAGATTATCGTGACTCCTCCATAAGCACAACTAAAGTCGCGAAAAGGTTGTTGTTGCAGAGAGCGCCGGGGTTGTGTTCTTGTTGCTTGTCGCGGTCGCCTGGGGAAAGCTTGAGGAATGGAGACAAGGATGGTGATGGCTGCGGGAAGTCGCTTTGGCGAAAGCACGGGGCACGCTAGTGAATTTGTGGCCTTCTATTTCAATATTCGATCTTTCCTGCTTACAGTACCACGACAACTTGGATAACACCACGACAGTCTCTATTCGTACTTGAAGGATACAATTAAACGTGAAACTAACAAATAGGGAAAATAACAACCATGACTTCTGAGGATCAAGAGATCCTCGAAAAGATCAGCCAGCTTGCTGGTGAGTTCGCCACGCACCCAGCTGTTTGCTGTACCACGACTGACTTCATCTCCAGGCCAGATCAATCGACACAAAAATGGGCAGACGCCTGATGAACAAGCACAATATCAACCATCAAAAGTTAATACCTATGCCGGTACGCGATCGTTTGTACGACCAACTGATCCCGGGACTGATTCACTCGAAGGATATCATCAGTCAAGGGAAACATGGCAACCACGCCGTGGTGGCTATAGCTCACGAGGGTCTCTACGCGGCGGCAGAGTGTCCCAAGTTCACCGTCATCGCACACTAATCCTAAATGGCAACAACTCAACGTCCACAACACCAGAGAGGGAACCCAATGACGAGAATGCGAATCCCAGCACCCAGTCACAAGCAACGGGTTCTGCTTGGGTTAGCAAGACTGATCGACATCTTCAGCTTATCAATACGTCCGTCTTCGAAAAAGAAAGCCAGCAACGTGCAAAAGCGATGGAGCAGACCCGCCAACAAAGACTAAAACAGAAAGACGAGCGTGAGAAGGCGAGATTCGCTAAACATCTTCAACGATCGGCAAACAACGCTTATAGCTCAAATGGACCCGGAACCCACGAAATAGAGCTAGGTGGAATTCGCTTTCTTGTAACCAAAAATGGGAGCAAGCTTAAGAAGATTCCTGGTGAGAACTCACATACAGCAACCAATAGCGCTGTTGGTGAAATCAATAGATCAATCATGAACTCACGGTATTTAGGAGATGCCAATGCAGCAAAAGCTACCCCGAAGACAACGCTAGTTGGAGGAGTTCGATTCTTTAGAAGCAAGAACGGCAACATGTATCGAGCAGGTGTTATCAAGGCACATCGGTACGAATGACCCAAATTCGATTCTGGATTTATTCACCTATACAGTTCGAACGCTGACACATTCGACAACAGGAGAAAGGCAGGGCTTCAGAAAATCCAAGAGCCTTGCAAGACATTCACAACTACGGGTATTTTCCTTTCTAATGAGCATCCACTGACAACGCTTCTGAAGTGGAGGAGCGACTTGGGTTTCAGCTAACATCTCTTTTCTTTTAGGTTCATGCCATAAAGGACCCAGATGCCGGTACATTCATGATCCTTCAAAGGTTGCTGTATGCAAAGAATTTCTTCAGAAGGGTTCATGTCCAAGTGGAGATGCGTGTGACTTGTCACATGATCTAACCCCAGAGAGAACCCCTACATGCCTGCATTTTGCCAAAGGAAATTGCTCCAACCCAAATTGTCGATATACTCACGTGCGAGTCTCACCGTCTGCGCTTGTCTGCCGAGCCTTCGGCATCTATGGCTATTGCGAGAAGGGTGCAAACTGCACGGAACGTCATGTTAATGAGTGTCCTGACTTCAGCAATACTGGAACTTGTCCCACCAAAGGATGCAAATTGCTCCATCGACACAAAGCCAGCGTAATGCGTACAAATATCACTCGCAGCGATCAATCAGCAGAAGACGAGACCAGTGATATATCAAGTGACGAGGAGGGCGAGGAGATTGGTGATGACGATGTCGACTCTGATGACCTTGAGGAATTCATTGGCGACGAGGATGGCAATATCGACTCCGACATCCCCATGCAGCAGGACTACGTTCAGTTGTCGTGATGCATCTTACTAATCATCTCAGTACCAGCTAGCTGCTCATCAGAAAGCTTCCGCTGAGATCACGACGACCATTCATTTTCTATTTTGCCTAGCGATGATCTAGTTATTTTGCATGGCATTGGTGGGGAGTTTGGGTTCATTTAGGGCATTCCATGGTTATGGGAAAATAGAAAGATACCCCTGGACTGCAAAGCCCGTCGGCGTCTGGAGTCCAGCTCTTATTGAACTATCGCGTCTGTCGCGCTTATGTAAAGAAAATGAAGACTAGGAAGCAGAAAAAAAAGAAGAATAGTAAAAATTTTTATCAAGTCTGTCTCAGTATGCGTCTCGAAGTACACAATCCAGGGTTTTCTTCAGCTTCAGGTTGCCTTCAACAGCGCGTGACCTGACTATATGCATGTCTGAACTCTACATTTCCATGGCTGAGTTCGCGAGGACATCCCATTTTAACTCGTCAATCCGCCTTCTGGTTTTGCTAATCATGTGTTTACCTATGTATGGGCTTGTTTTGCTTTTTGTCTGATGCCGGTCTCGGAGGTGGGCGAGGCGTTTCCTGAAAACCACGTTCTCGGTACCCGCGCTGATGCAAGCTGAAGTAGCATTGGATTTTAGGTTCGAGTTTTGAATGCGGTGGAGCAGTAGCGGAGGATGAGGAAGAAGAGGAGAGATAGACAGATTGTGGCTTCGAGTTGTGGATGTGGATTTGAGACAGAGATGAGTATGGCATGATAGGAAGGGATTCTGAAATTCTGGCGCCTATGAAGAATGGAGGTGGATGGAGCAGGCTGGCTCATGGAAGAAAGCAGAGGGAGATGTAACGAGAGATCTCAAGGAAGGCCATAGAGGAAAGAGACGCGAAGGAACCCAAGACATACATCCACAAACTTGGATGTAGGTCTGTAGGCGTATTTCACGTAGGATAGGTTGTTGAAGATTGATTCCGTTTGAAGATCTCTTGACGCCCCCACGCTAGCGCATATTATTGGAGAAGAGGGATTCGAAACCGGGCTGGTGGTTAC